GCTACTGGCCAATCAGCATTTTATTAAGCCAGTACAACTGATAAACCTTTACAGGGTACAAGACCATTGTCCCACAGCAAGCACAAATGTGTCCTGTGATCTTTCAAATATTTGACTCTATGAAACAATTACCACATCTTCCATTTGTCATGGTTTGGCTTTGCACAGAAGCACCTCCCCAACTGTCCCGGCCTGAGAGTGTGTAGATATTCAGACTTTTTCTAAGTCTCTCTGGGATTGTGTAGGGGATATCCCAGATGCAGAAGTCTGCCCTCTCATCAAGCCAAGCCTGTAATCTCTCATTTCTGCTGGTGATCTGTCAGTGGTACCGCAGACTCTTAAGGGCTAAATAGCAGCCTTCTGTGTTGGCTTTAGTTCCCAGTGACCAGCAAGCATTCAAATATACAGTTAGCCTTCCGTGGAGCCATGTCTTTAGGCAAGACCAGCTAAAGTCACAGTATGGATGCACATTTATCTCCTTTCTGGGAGAAACATGCCTTTGTAGTTTTCTCCCCATTTTGCCCCACTGTGCCAGGTGGGAGGGAGCTATCTGGAGTTTGATGGCTGATTTAGATGGACTAAGAACACTGGGGCAATAGTGAGGCCCAGGTTTGAGGGTGTCTGTAAGAGCTTTTCCAGACTGTATTGAGCTCATCTGGGGAAAATCTGTACCGAACGTGGATGGCTTTATTTCCTGGGCTGAGGTTCTGGACTGGAGAGAAAGGGGAAAAAAGAAGAAAACCAGCTGAGTGCTTTGAATTTTCTTTATTTTTTTGTGAATCCACTGAGATATGAGCAAGTAGTCTCCTAATGGCATGGATGTGAGCTGGCTAGGCAGCATTACACTATATATGTTAATCCCAGCATTACAGATTAGAGCCCATGAACTGGGACCTCTCTTCCAGCGAGGCTTAGTGTGTGTGTGTGTGTGTGTGTGTGTGTGTGTGTGTGCCTATACCTCAGCACTTGGGAGCTGGAGACAGGAGATTAGAACTTCAAGGCCAGTCAGTCCCTACCACACAGACTTTGAGGCCAGCCTGGGTTCCATGACACCCAATTCCACAAACAAACACCAATACCCATACACAGTAGGAGCCTCTCCTTCCTGCAGCTGCTATGTTAGGAATTCTGTTGTAGCAACAGAAAAGTTTCACTCCTGCAGTGAGTGAAAACAGCACACTTGACTTGCTTTGATGTGACTATTCTTGGCTCTGCCCTCACTTGGGTGTATGCCACCTCTTAATTGGTTTCAGGAGGTCTCATAAAGGTAATTTTGTTTGTACATTTGTGTTAAATCACTGTCTTTCTGGGGGGGAGGTTTGAGCTAGAGTCTTCTTGTTTCGCCATCTTATATCATTCTCAAGTGTAACCCAAATCTCTGTTTTATGAGACGGAGATAATTAATACTGGAAAAACTTTGCTCATTAAAATGGTAGAAATGGTAATACACCAAAAAAAAAAAAGTTTGACCCGGCCCAAACCAGGGACCTCTGTGGGAGCATGCTGACATGCCGAGCCAGGGACATCTGTGGGAACAGGCCTGAGCCAGTGACTTCAGCTGGAGCAGGCTCAAGGCAGCGATCTCAGCAGGAGCAACTCCAAGCAAGCAACCCCATGGGAGCAGGCCTGAACAACCCCTGGGATTGCAGAGCAACCCCCAGGAGTTCTGTGCAACGTCCTGGGAACACTGAGTGACCTCCAGGGTGACTGGAACTGTGGCCCTGACTGCAGTACAAGGAGCAACCATCTGAGCCTTGGATCCACTGGCACCTGGAAGACTGATCACCAGAGACACAACCCCAATTACACCAATCAGAAAAAGATGGGTAGACAAGGTAAGAGCACACTCAACACCACAAAGAGCAACATGATACCAATAAAAATTAGTGTCCCTATCCCAGCAAGACTTAACAACCAAATATAGATGAAGCAGAAGAAAATGACCTAAAAATAACTTTAGGAGAACATTTGAGGCCCGTAAAGAGGAAATGAAAAATTCCCTCAAAGAAATGGAGGAAAAGACAAACAAAAAATTGGAGAAAATCAATAAATCTCTTAAAAAAAAGCCAAGAAAGAGCAATGAAACAGATGAAAGAAACATTCAAAGACTTGAAAACTGAAGTAAAGACCATAAAGAAAATACAAAGCAAGGTAATTATAGAAATAGAAATTATGAGAAAATGATCAGGAACCACAAATGCAAGCATAAACAGCAGAATAGGAGAAATAGAGGAGAGAATCTCAAGTGCTGAAGATACAATAGAGGAAATAGACTTATCTGTCAAAGGAAACATTAAATCTAGCAAAAACTTAACACAAAATATCCAGGAAATATGGAACACCATGAAAAGACCAAACCTAAGAATGATAGAAGGAGAAGTCCAACTCAAATGCACAGAAAATATATTCAACAAAATCATAGAAGAAAACTTTTCTAACCTAAAGAAATATATGCACATGAAGGTACAAGAAGCTTACAGAATACCAAATAGACTGGATCAAAAAAAAAAAAATCCCCTGACCACATAGTAGTCAAAACACTAAACATGCAAAATAAAGGAAATCCCAAAGAAGGAAAAACCACACACAATGTCATTACCAACAGTGAAAACAAAAATAACAGGAACTAGCAATCACTGGCCATTAATTTCACTTAATATAAATGGACTCAACTCACCTATAAAAAGGTACAGGCTAAACAGATTGGATACTAAAACAAAATCCATTCTTCTGCTGCATTCAAGAAACACAATTCAACCTTTGGCAGTAGAGGAGTGGGTGCCTGAACTGGCCCTGCCCAATAGTCAGACTGAGAGAAACAATTAATAAATGGGACCTCCTGAAACTGAGAAGCCTCTGTAAAACTAAGGACACAGTCAACAAGACAAAACAGCAGCTTACAGAATGGGAAAAGATCTTCACTAACCCCACATCAGACAGAGGTCTGTTCTCCAAAATATACAAAGAACTCAAGAAATTGGTCATCAAAAGAACAAATAATCCAATAAAAAATGTGGTACAGATCTAAACAGAAAACTCTCAACAGAGGAATCTAAAATGACTGAAAGACACTTAAGAAAATGCTCAACATCCTTAGCCATCAGAGAAATTCAAATCAAAACAACTCTGAGATTCCATCTTACACCTGTCAGAATGGCCAATATCAAAAACACTGATGAAAACTTATGCTTGAGAGTATGTCGAGTAAATGGAACAGTCCTCCATTACTGGTGGGAGTGCAAACTGGTGCAGCTGCTTTGGATATCAATATGGTGATTTCTTACAAAATTAGGAAACACTTTCCTCAAGACCCATCAATACCATTTTTTTGGGTATATACCCAAAGGATGCTCAATCATACCACAAAGACATATGCTCAATTATGTTCATAGCAGCATTGTTTGTCATAGCCAGAACCTGAAAACAACCTAAATGCTCCTTGATCAAAGAATGGATAAGAAAAATGTGGTATATTTACACAATGGAACACTACACAGCAGAAAAACAATGACATCTTGAAATTTGTTGGGAAATGGATGAATTCAGAAAACATCAAATTGAGTGAGGTAACCCAGACCCAGAAAGACAAATATCACTCATAACTGGCTTTTAGACATAAAGCAAACAAATCACAATCCCAGAGAACCTAGACAATAATGAGGACCCTAAGAGAGACATGTGTGGATCTAATCTACATGGGAAGTAGAAAAAGACAAGATCTCCTGAGTAAATTGGGAGCATGGGAGTGGATAGAAGTGGAGGGGAGTTGAAGGGAGGGGAGCAGAGAAATATATATATCAATAAAAACAATTAAAATAGCACCCCTCCTGCAAAGAGTGATCATTTCTTTCTTAACTCTTTTAATTTTTAAATTTTATACACAAATACAATACATTTTAATCTTGATTAATTCACTACCAACTCCTCTCACTTCTCTCTTTCCCTTTCAACTTCATATTCTCATCGTAATTGTTTATGTACACACACACATACACACACACACCCTACTGTGTCCAATTAGTGTTGCCCAAATGCTCTTGGGTGCGTGACTGGCCACTTAGACATGGACAACCTATCACGGGGCTTGTCCATGAAGAAAACTGACTTCTCTCTCAGAAGCTGTGCATTGCCACTAGCTTGTCAACTAGTACTGGTAGGGGTGGGGCTTGGTGAGCCCTTTCCGGCCTGGCCCGTGCTGGAATGCCAACTGGTGTGGGCTGCTGCAGGTTTTGTGTAGGCAGCCCTTACTGTTGAGGGTTCACGGGTGCAAATCTTCGCCATGTCCAGAGGACAACAGCCCTGCTTGTCCTCTGCTCTGATAATCTTTCTGCCCATCTTCTTGGTCATTTCTTAGGCCTTGGGACAGGGCTTGTATTATAGATGTTCCATGTACGATGGAAACTCCAAACTTTGGGTTCTCTACACCTCGCCAGTTGTTCTTTGCGGTAGCCTCCTTCTCCTGCAGACGTTTCTTTGGTAGGGGATGAGAGCTGCACTAATCTATGGCTGTAAGAAGTAAGTGTTTGGAAGGCAATTGGAAACTATCAGTTTAGCTTGGTGTCAGTAGCTTCATGTATCATGAATGAATATTCTTTCATTGAAGTGATTGCTGTTTATTCTGTATAAACTGTACCATAGTTAGGTCAACCTTAAATAGAATCTTTTGTTTTAACAGGTAATTACTCAATTTTTATGGATATTATTTTGTGTTAATTATAAATGGTAATTGTGTTGCTGAAAGTGTCTATAATTACATATCCAAATGCAAAGTGATATGAAAGATGAGTGTTTTTGACAATTGAGAGTAAAAGATGTATTGTGATCATATCGATGCCCCACTACCCTTCCCTTTCCCTCTCCCACTGTAGTGGCATCTTCTTCCCAATGAATGTCCCTCTTACCCTCAGGGCTTGCTTTATTTTATTTTATGCAGATAACCATAGAGATGAATTGTGTGTGTGTTTTATAACTTTTTTCTTTTCTTTTTTTCCCCCCCCCAGGACAGAGTTTATTCAAAGAGGCAGAATTTCAATCACGGGGGCTGGATTTTTCAACTGTATTTTGGAAACTTTTGCTAGTGCATTCTTAAGACAGGGAGCCCAGAAGGTAAGCTTGGTTCAACTTTGAACTCATATTAATTTTAAGAAAACATGGAGAAATCAGTTGGATATTGAATAGGACATAGTAGAAGAATGTCATGAACAGATATGATAAAAAGGGGAGTTAATGAATAAATGTACCCACAAAATTTCTCTTAATAATTGCTATTTAAGTCCAAAGTTTAACCAGGCTAAGTCAGTCTGAATACATTCTAAGGAGTGCTGACCTAGGCTGTTGAGATTAATCATGTGTTATTGGCCTGGCTGGGGGGCGGTGTTCTGTCATGGATTCAGACTGGTTTAGCTTAGACTGGAAGGAAGTCATTGAACTCCTAGAAGGTCTAATGTCACTTTTCCTCACGGAGACATTATTGTGCTTGTTTTTCTGCTAGAGCACAATGTGTGCATTTGTTAAAAAAAAAATAAAATAAAGTAAAAGAAAAATAACACCATCAGACTCCTATCTACAAAATTGCAATCTCAAAGTAATGCCCCTGGTGAGAAAATTAATTTTATCCCTGTGTCTCTGACTGAGTTGACTCCTTGTTCATCTATTAAATCCTCTATTAGAAAAGCCGTAATAATAATAATTAAGTATAATTGTTTAGCACACAAGTCTATTCATCAAAAGGATGGGAACCCCTTTTGGGAGAGATAATATTTAAATGTTGAGTTGAGGTTTTTTTATTATTAGACTGACTACACAGAGTCATTTGTAAAATAAAATAAAATTCTATCCGATGGTCCCTGTGAAAACACACATCAGGTTGTATTCATCCTGGATGTTGTGGCTTGCCTCACTTTAGACAAAAACATGTTGTCCATTCACCTGAGTGACTTTGTATTTTAACTGTCATCAACCTGAACCTGTTAATAGTTGTTAATCATATATGGATCCTGATAAATAAAGTGGTCCACATTTCTATTTTACTGGTGAAAGATAATTAAATAAGTATACCCAGAATATGTCTATTGTCTTGTCTATCTTCCTCTTTTTTTTTTTTAAATAGGAGAGTACCTGCCTTGTGCTAGGCACTATGTGAAATGTGGATGTGGTGGTTTGAATAGGTATGGCCCTCATAGACTCACCATAGGTGTGTTTGAATTCTTAGTCTATAGGAAGTGGCATTATTAGGAGTGTGGCCTTGTTGGAGTAGGTGTGGCCTTGTTGGAGGAAGTGTGTCACTGTGCGGGCAGGCTTTGAGGTCTCATATGCTCAAGCTATGCCCAGTGTGGGACTCAATTCATTTCCTGATGCCTATGGATGTAGAACTCTTAGCTCCTTCTCATGTACCATGTCTACTACCTGCATGCCGCCTTGCTTCTTGCCATGATGATAATGGACTAAATCTCTGAAACTTTAAGCCAGCCCCAATTAAATGTTTTTCTTTTTAAGAGTTGCCACAGTCATGGTGTTTTTCATAGCAGTAGAAACTTTAAGTATGACAGGGGGCTGAATGTGTTTATTTGGTCATAGAAATATGTGGGCTCTAGACTCCATCCCGTCTTTCATTGAGGTCCCAGCTAGATGCAGTAAAGTCCTTACCTTCTCAGCACAGTGCCCTTCACACAAATGGCTGTGCCGTCACAGACTTGTGTGTGTCCTACACTCCTAGTAGAATTTGGCTGCAAGTGACAAAACACACTGTGGGTTGGTTGTTGGAATGGAGTAAGGGTGCTGAGGCTGGCTGCTGGCTTCAGGAAGAGCTGCCCTGAGGTGGGAGCTTCTGGACACCTTTGTAGGAGTCCATCTCCTCCCACCTAGTTCATCTGATCTGTAGGGATGTGGAGCTTCCTGGTTCTCTTTTCTCCAGCTTGGCTCTCTCTGTTTAGTGGGCGTGGATCTCCACTGTCCAGGTGTCTATGTTGAATACAGTTCTAGCCAATGGAAAGACTGACTGCCTCTCTCTCTCTCTCTCTCTCTCTCTCTCTCTCTCTCTCTCTCTCTCTCTCTGTCAGCAAAATGACTGTCTATTTCTTCCTTTTCTAATGTCTCTGGAAGGAGAGGCCCTTGTTTGCAAACAGGTCAAACAGTACTTGTACAGTTGAATGGCGGCTGTACAAACAGGATCCTCTTCTCTGCCATGGGCATGGAGACCAGGGCTGAGGTCACTTCTCAGATAAAGGGCTTGTGGGAAAATATTTCCTACCATGTTCTCAGTAGATTCTGTACTCTGTACCCTACTGGGAGAGAGGGAGGGAGGGAGGGAGGGAGGGAGGCAGGGAGAGAGAGAGAGAGAGAGACAGAGAGACAGAGAGACAAAGAAAAAGAGAAAAAGAGAGAGAGATAGAGAGAGAGCGAGTGCTTTGTCCTCATCTTCCTTTATCTCTCCCTTCTTTACCTTCCATGCCCCCCAAAAGAGGATGTTAGGTGTCTTACTTTTTCTTTCACTGAACCTGAAGCTAAAGTGCTGGTCAGCAAGACCCAGCCATCCTCCTGTCTTCCACCTCCACCAAGTTTAGGTCATAGGTGAGGGAGTATGCATGTGTGTGCATGTATGTACATGTATGTTTTTTGTGTGTGTGGCCAGGTTTTTTTTTTTTTTTTTTTGCCTTTTTCAAGACAGGATTTCTCTGTGGTTTTGGAGCCTGTGTCCTGGAACTAGCTCTTGTAGACCAGGCTGGTCTCGAACTCACAGAGATCCGCCTGCCTCTGCCTCCCAAGTGCTGGGATTAAAGGCGTGTGCCACCACGCCAGCTTTTTATGTGGATGCTGGTATCTGAACTCAGGTTCTCATGCTTGCACAGCAAATACTCACTGAGCCTTCTCTTAGTCTTGGTCCTGATTCCTCCCTAGCCTGTGATGCTCTGGACAGGGCCTCGTATGTGTATGTGGAAGTGAATGGGCACAAAGTAAAACACAGAGGGGAGCATGGTTGACTTCTTCTGAATATTCACAGGAGCAAAACCAACTAAACCAGGTGACGAATGTTTCAAACTGATTAACCCTTTATTGTTCTTGATTATGTTCAGAAATAAGAGAATGCATTTTACCCGCTAGCTTTTCCAACTTTGCTTTCTGAAGAAGCTAAGTTTAATTAGCTTTTTGGTTTTAGAAGACATCCATACTTAAGTATCTTTCACATCTTACTCATGTGATGTAGCATTAGGAGCGGCGGGGCTGCATCCCTGGCACCCGGCTGCCTGCATGGCTAGGTTATGCCCCGAAATAATTACACGGAAACTGTATTCTTTTAAACACTGCCTGACCCATTAGTTCCAGCCTCTTATTGGCTAGCTCTTACATATTGTTCTAACCCATTTCTAATATTCTGTGTAGCCCACGAGGTGGCTTACCAGGGAGGATCTTAACCTGCGTCTGTCTGGAGTGGGAGAATCATGGCGACTCCCGACTCAGCTTCTTTTTCCCAGCATTCTATTCTGTTTACTCCATCCACCTAAGGGCCTATCAAATGGGCCTAGGCAGTTTATTTATTAATAAGAAATCACTCCCACATCAATGTGATGCTGTTTTGTAGGACGAGCCTGCCTTCCTGGTAAACCTCCCCGCTGAGTCGGCATAACTGTTTTCTGCCTAAGTGGATGTGTGGTTTTTAGGTGGCTGCATTTTCAGTTTTGGGCTTTATCCTTGAGGCTGTTCAGTGGTGTCAAAAGTGGGAGCTGACAGCTATTTTCCCCCCTCATAAAAGCAAAATTAGACACTCAAACTTTCTATATATGTTTGTAAATTAAACTCAGTCTGTTGATATGAATCTGTAGGTGAGGTTACTTGTTTTTCTGGGCCTCCAGGGGCTTGTTCAATTGCACTTTTTCCCTTTTTCTTTTCTAATCTAATGCAGGCTACAATTGGGACCCTCATGGACACACACGCTGGCTTTCACATACCAGTCGGAAGCTGCCCTCCTCTTGGATTAGATGGAATGGTTATAAGTGTTATTGATTTCCCTTGGGTGCCAAGCCCCAGGCATGCCCCTGCAGTGGGACAGGTTGTACATAGGCAGGCTGCTGTGCACACCCCCATCACTTTTGTGACCTGGCAGCAGTCCCTCTGCCCAAGTTTGTTCATCCGCCAAAGAGGGATTTTATGCATTCCTAGAAATTTGAGTGAAAACTATGAGGGTTTTAACATTGAAATCCTCAGGTCACATATCAACACATGTTCCCTTTGCTTCTAAGTGTTAGGAACATCACAACCACGTGTTTCTCTGTCCTGCTTTCTTGTTATCATTACACATCTCCCAAGCCACGTGAGCATATATAGTGCACATTGAAGCTTTATTCAACTCTACAAGCATCTTTTGATGAGCTGTGTGCTGGACGTCGGGGAGAGTGCCGGAGACACACAGAAATGAGGCATAACTCACAGGTTGGAGGCTGCCTTGTGCAGCTTCAGTTTGGGGACCTGTGGCTGAGGGTGGATAGCATGGCAGACATTGGTTAACATCTACCAATGCTGGAAATGGATGAAGTCTGGCTTTGGGCTCAGACTCGGCACTCTGAGTCTAAGGAGGGGATTAGTAAGCAGCTTGTGAGCATGATGGTTATAGATGACAAGCCCTGGGCCTCACATGCGTGCCCTTGTCTGCTTCCCTGAGCAGCTCAGTGAGATGGGAGCTGCTGTTCTCCTTTCATTTGTACAGGGAAACTGAGGTCCCAAGAGACAGAATAGTTTTCTCAAGGTTACTAAATTAGAAAGTGGGACAATTGGAATGTGATCCAAACCTTGTCTGACCCCAGAGTGGACTCTTGGTCTCTGACTCTTACGGGCCCACGTATAATCTCTGCACCTAAGCCATGTGCGTGTTGGGGGGAAGGTGTATGTGCTTAGAATTGTTCTCAGCCAGTGAGCACTACAGACATGGCATGTTCCTCAGTTTGAGAGGCATCACACAGATGTGTAGTTGAATTTGAGCACAGCTCATTGGCACACAGAATCAGAAGTACATGTTGTTTTCATCTGCCAAGTTGGGGTAATTTGTTACACAGCAATAAATAACCAATAGAGTGAGTTTGAAAAAAAAAAAGTCATGCAGCCAGATATAGCCA